GGGGGGGAGGGTACATATGTAGTAGTCAATTAGTTGTCTTCTGGCTTCCCAGTATCTCTGGGTTTCCGTCGTTGTCTTTAGGGCTGAACACCGAATCAGTTGGGTCTTCTCCATTTCTTCCTGTCGGTTACATATGGGGAATTAATCATAATGGTTGTCTACCTACTCATTTAAGCATGAACTTTATAATAAACTCACCTAGTTTTTTATAGTGACATTTGGGCTATTGTTACCTTGCTTGCTATATGCAAGCCCTGTCTGTGACGTTACTTAGAGTAGACTATGCGTCTTAGCAGTCGAAATTGCCTAACATTAGCCAAGTCAGTGGTCGTTGTGCTTTCGGTAATCATATTGAAGAAATGCAATTTCTTATCAGAGAGGCTACTGGTTGCCGCGTCTCTGTAGCCAAGATGTATGTTATGAAAAGCTTTCCTCAATTCTCCCGAAGACAGAATTACCCTCACTTGGGTCAGAATTTGGTCTAAATTGTTTCCCTTTTTATAGCCCATCTTGACAGAACACACAGCAGCAAACCGAGACATTCAACTGATGCCTCCACCGGCCATTTCCAAACGCAGCATCGGTTTGCAAACTCCTTCAAGAAAAGAATTTCCTAATCCCGTGATCACTACTCTATCTCCAGGTCGTTCCATCGACTCCCAACTTAATCAGATTTCCAAAGATCTTGGACTTAACGAGCGGGAAAATTAGTAAGCCCTTTTGATGTGTATATTAGTGTATATATTTGTGTAGGAAACCCGGATGCATTGTTATTAGTGATATGTATAGGGCAGTTTTGTCCACGCTATTTGGAATAATTATTTATTTATTTCAAATGGCAGGCGTTTTGATAGCTATCTTTAGCCATTTAGCTGTCTTCGGGCTTCACAGAGCTTCAGCTTTATTTAAGTGATTTTAATCATAATTAATGAAACGCTTCAGTTTTCGACGGCTTCAAGGTTTAATTATAAAGTCAGTAAAGCATTATTCAGAACACATTTTCAGCTATGAAATATGATTATGACTAAATATTTACATTACGATTTACCATTGCTTATCGTTATTGGATAAATAAATAACAAAATAGCAATGAATTTATTATCATTCGATGAAATAAACGATTAATCTTTGCGAGTGTCGATTCATCAAAATTTCAATACATATTTTTAAACTTGTTTAACTATCAGTATTCGAATCTACGCCTCACACCCCAAACATTAGCATTTAAAAATCGTCAAGTTTATGAAACGTAGAAATTTTATTTAGTAAATTCAAGATGATTTAATATTGCCATATTTTAATATCGATTTTTTAAATTAAGAAAAAAACTCTACTGTACTATCATTGGACGACGGAAATAGATTTTCTGAACACTTAAATTAAAGCTCATTTGGTTAACAACATTTGTTGACTGCTATGCTAATAGGACGAAAACTTAAATTTATTTTAATACTGCTATACGCTTGCAGAGAATAGCAATTAAAGATTAGAATTTGTTATGGATATATACGATTACTTTGACTTGACTCAAGATAGGACTGTTGATATTGCAGAAGATGTCATCAAGCATAGCACACAAATGGGATGTATTTCTACAAATTATGGGCTCTTTTGTATCCCGTTATGGCCCGTTATGCAGAACTGCTTCAGACTTAGTTTTAACAAATGGATGTCTGCTCTTATTGGAGAACTGGAATTGAATTTACTCCGAAGTCTCCTTCTATTTCCATAAACTCTTTGCAAATGCCCATCTCAATGTATCAATTTGCGTGCATCCGAATATCGATTTCGATAGCTATACCTTCTGCCACCTTCGTTTCTGGATGTTTTTTACATAAATAGTGCTGTTGCGCTATCAAAAAAATATACATACAACATATCTCAGCCCATTCACTTCGAAGTTCTATTGATTTTTACT